GGGTCCAAGGTAAATATAGGCCAACTTTGGCCTGCGTGCCCTACTTTGGGCATCTCTGACGTAGACATACAAAACTCTCTTTCTCTTAATAATGATTGAATCCTTTCGATTTGAAAAGATGAACCCTTATGACTGGGTTTGTGGTCAGATATGGTGACGTCTCTCTCTCTGGTGTGCTTGTGGTCAGGAAGCAGCAGCCGGACAGTGATGAGAGCGACTCTGATGTCATCGGTCCTCTTCCTCCACCTGCTCAGGCTGATGATGAAGATGATGATGATGATGATGATGGAGTGGTCGGACCACCGCTGCCACCCGGATTCATGCGCAGCACTGCTGACGAGGATGATGATGAGGACGGCAATGAGGACGAGGATGATGATGATGATGATGATGTGAGTGTGTTTGTCTTCTCATTTGTTCCAGAAAACATCTCCATACCAGCGGATTAGGTCAGATCATAACTGGATTGTTTATCAGGATTATTAAAAGTGCTAAAAAGCTTTCGACTTGAATTCTAAGCGACGTCATGGTCTTAAAGTCCCCATGAAGCAGTTGTGAATGAGAAAACAGTGGGCGTGGCTTGTTTTTTTCTACTGCAAGCTGATTGGATGTAGTAAAGTAGGCATTTCATTCAGAAAGAGGGGGAAAATTAGTGTAACACTTTACAGTAAGGTTGTTTTATTTAATGTTAGTTAATGCATTTGAACAACACAAACACACAACGAACAACACACCTATTACTGTATTTGTTCATGTTAGTTAATGGAAATAAAGTCGCCCATTGTTAGTTTAACTCGCGCTGCATTAACTAATGTCAACAAGCATGAATTTGGATGTTAATAATGCATTAGTGAATGCTGAACACTGAGTAAAGAAACTCATGTTCATAATTAGTTAAATACATGGGTCACACTTTACAATAAGGTTCATTAATTGTTAATAATGCATTTTCTAACATAAGCAAACAATGAACAATACATCTACTACTGTATTTGTTTATGTTAGTTAATGAAAGTACAGTAGTTCATTATTAGTTCATGTTAACTCATGGTGCATTAACTAATGTAAACAAGCATGGACTTGCATGTTAATAATGCATTAGTAAATGTTCAATTATGATTAATAAATGCTGTACAAGTGCTGTTCATGATTAGTTCATGTTAGTAAATGCATTAACTAATGAACCTTATTGTAAAGTGTTACCAATACATGAACTAATGAAACCGTATTAAGTGTGAACAAAACTAGCTTTAACTTTGCCTTGTTGTGGACGGTTGATTATCAGCGTCTATATTTCATACTGTTTTCAGTCCAGCTATGATCTAATCTGATTTGAAACACTTATTTGCTGTGATTTGTAAGGTTGATCAGTGTTATGTGATGCTCAATGACGCTCGGTGCAGGTTGTGTGTGTTTGTAATGTGAGAGTGACGCCACTAGAGGGAAACACTGCCATTCTCCATCACTGCAAATGTTTTCAGAGGCCTTCATGGATTTGTCATTGGACTATAGACGTCTCTATTGAGCTGTTGCTTTTGCTTTCAGAGACATTCTGTTCTTTAGTTTGTATGAAAAAGCCCCAAACGTCTCTCATTAACATTCATCAAATATCAAAGGTGTATTTAAATTTATTTTGTAAGAAAAAAAATATTAGATTTATACATTGGGCTGTTATGGTAATGTAATAATAATAGTAATAGTAGTAATAATAATAATAATAATAATGTACACTCAACGGCCACTTTATTAGGTACACCGTACTAGTACCGGGTTGGACCCCCTTTTGCCTTTAGCACTGCGTTAATGCTTCATGGCAGAGATTCATCAAGCTACTGGAAATATTCCTCAGAGATTTTGCTCCATATTGTCATGATAGCATCACACAGCTGCTGCAGATTTGTCGGCTGCACATCCATGATGATAATCTCCCGTTCCACCACATCCCAAAGCTGCTCTATTGGATTGAGTTCTGGTGACTGTGGAGGCCATTTGAGTACAGTGAACTCATTGTCATGTTCAAGAAACCAGTCTGAGATGATTGAGCTTTATGACATGCTGCGTTATCCTGCTGGAAGTAGCCATCAGAAGATGGAGACACTGCCCCTCTGTGTGTGTGTGTGTGTGTGTGTGTGTGTGAGACAGTGAGTGTATAAAGGCATCCTGCGTTGTGACTGCTGCTCTATGTGTGTCACAGTGAGTGTGTACAGGTGTCCTGCTGCTCTGTGTGTGTGTTTGATGGATGTCCTCTGTACTGGGCTGAATGTGTCTCATCAGGTCCAGGTGTGCTGGAACAGCAGCATCCGCCAATCCACAAATCACACACACAACGAGTCTCTCAGCGCAGCGAGTTCTGGTGCACAAGCGCGTGTGTGTGTGTGTGTGTGTGTGTGTGTGTCAGTGGTATTACCACTGTAAAGCACTTACAGGTGTACGCAGGGGTCAGGACACTCAGTCTGGGGCCTGTAAAAACTGCTGAAGAGTTTCTCTTTGTGTTTGAGTAACAGAATCCAGTGAAGAAGATACCGGATACTCATGAGATCACACTTCAACACGGCACTAAAACCGTGAGTACACGCCTCTGCTCTCCGCTTTCTGCTTTTGTTGTTTTGATCACTGTTTTAGTATTTCTTTTGTGCTTTTTTATGATTTTTTTGGTTAAATTTGTGTCTGCCTGTGTAGTTTAGCACATGTTGATTTTAGTTTTTGTCATTTTTAATACTTCAAACTAAAATAATCAATAATAGTTGTCACTAATCTTGAAAAACCGCTTCTATCATCTCATTAAATATAACTGAGTTCAAATTTTGATTCAATTTAGCTCAGTTCAAACATCAAACGAATCTTGGTTCAGTTCAAATGTTGATTTTGACTCAGTTCAGTTCAATCATCAAGTTCAATTAATTTCAAATTTTGATTCTGATTCAGTTTAGTTCAGTTCAAAAAACAAATTAATTTTGGTTGGGTTCAAATCTCAATTCAGTTCAATCATCAAGTCATTTCAGGTCAAATTTTGATCCTGATTCAATTTAGTTTAGTTCAAACGTCAAACGAAACTTGGTTCAGTTGATTTTGACTTAGTTCAGTTCAATCATTAAGTTAAATCATTTCAGTTCAAATTTTGATCATGATTCCTTTTTTATTTCAGTTCAAACAACAAACGATTCTAGGTTCGGTTCAAATGTTGATTTTGACTCAATTTCAATTTAATAATCAAGTTAAATTCAGTCCAATTTAAATTTTGATCAAGATTAAATTTAGTTCAGTTCAAACAACAAATCAATCTTGGTTCGGTTCAAATCTTTATTTTGACTCAGTTCAATCATCAAGTTAAATTCATTTCAGTTCAAATTTTGATCCTGATTCAATTTAGTTCAAACATCAAATGAATGTCATTTCAGTTCAAGCATCAATGTTTTATTAATGTAATTTTTAAATTATTATTATTAATCTGTCTTTGTTTTTAATATTTTATAGTTTGTATTAAGTTAGTTTTTGTATTTTTAGTGCATCAACCTAAAATAAACAAAAATCTTAACATCTTAAATATAATCTTGAAGTTAGAGTAGTCAGAATCTGCCTGTTAACAGATAATTATGAGGATCAGGTATATTGCAGATATTCATATTCTGACACATGGTCAATCATCAATTTAAATTAGATTCTGTTTCAATTTTGATTATGATTCAATTTAGATCAGTTCGAACATCAAACAGATCTTGGTTCAGTTCAAATCTTGATTTTGACTCAGTTCAGTTCAATCATCAAGTTCTATTCAATTCAGTTCAAATTCTGGTTATTATTCATTTTAGTACAATTTAGCTGTAGTTTTAGATCAAACAAAGGTAGGTTTGTTGAGCAAGAGAGACTTCTGTAATACTGCTGTAAATCTGTGGACTGTTGCTGTAATGGCTTGTTTAGGACTCTAATGAAGCGACGGCCTAAACTGAGCTCAGATCTGTGCATGTGCAGGTTTCAGCTTTGGCTCTGGACCCGTCTGGTGCTCGTCTGGTCACCGGTGGTTATGACTATGATGTGCGCTTTTGGGATTTCGCCGGGATGGACGCAAATCTGCATGCCTTCCGGTCACTCCAGCCATGTGAATGGTGAGTCCTGATGTCACTCCAGAAACGGAGGGTAACGAGTCATAATTCAAAAGCCACGCCCACCAGGGAGAAACAGTCCAACACTCAGCATTGACTTTCTATTGAGGGCAGCCGGCTCCTTTACATTTCTGACTTCTAACAAAAAACAAAACAACATCTAAAAGCTGTGACAAGGTGTATAAAAACAAGATAAAAACACAGAACTAAGCTGAAGGGGGTGAAAATGTGTTTAAAGGTCCTGTGAAGTGCTTTGAAATGTGCATTTTTATTGTATGTTTGAGGTAATCTCAACTAAAACACGAAGAGAGGGCAGGATATAGTGTAGCACCTCCCACTAAAAAAAAAAAACAGCCAATAGCGTGATAGCTATTACCAATAGCGTGGTATACATATGTGTAACAAACATTTTACCTGCACAATATGTAGAAAGTAATCCAACCTCAGCACCTGATAGCTCCTCCCCTTCATCAGAAGCTCCTCCCTTCACTGCAAGCCCCTCGCATTCAGCATTAGCTCCTCCCTTTCATCAGTAGCCCCTTCCATTCACTGGTAGCTTCTCCCTTCCATAAGTAACCACCTCCCCTTATTTAGTAGCTCCTCCTCTTCATCAGAAGCTCCTCCCCACACTGCAAGCCCCTCACCTTCATCATTAGCTCCTCCCTTTCATCAGTAACCCCTTCCATTCACTGGCAGCTCCTCCCCTCCATAAGTAACCTCCTCCCCTTATTTAGTAGCTCCTCCTCTTCATCAGAAGCTCCTCCCCTCACTGCAAGCCCCTCACCTTCATCATTAGCTCCTCCCTTTCATCAGTAGCCCCTTCCATTCACTGGTAGCTTCTCCCTTCCATAAGTAACCACCTCCCCTTATTTAGTAGCTCCTCCTCTTCATCAGAAGCTCCTCCCCTCACTGCAAGCCCCTCACCGTCATCATTAGCTCCTCCCTTTCATCATTAACCCCTTCCATTCACTGGCAGCTCCTCCCCTTCGTCAGTATCCCCCAACTTCATCATTAGCTCCTCCCTTTCATCATTAACCCCTTCCGTTCACTGGCAGCTCCTCCCCTTCATCAGTATCCCCCCCTTCATCAGTAGCTCCTCCCTTTCATCAGAAGCTCCTCCCCCTCACTGCAAGCCGCTCGCCTTCCTCATTAGCTCCTCCCTTTCATCAGTAACCCCTTTCATTTACTTGCAGCTCCTCCCCTTTATCAGTAACCATAAGCTCCTCCCTCCCCCTCACTGCAAGCCCCTTGCCGGGGTTACTGATGATAGGTCTTTAATCTAGTGTTGAACTGCGAGAGTGTGTCTGAGCATTATCAGGAAGGCTATTCCAGAGTTAAGGAGCCATAAATGAGAAGGCTCGACCTCCTTTAGTGGACTTTGCTATTCTATGTACTACCAGAAGGCCTGAGTTTTGAGATCTTAAAGAGCGCGTTGGACTGTAGCGAGACAGAAGGTTGGTTAGATAAACATAAAGCTTTATATAATGGAGCTTCTATGTAAGACGTAATATTTTAAAATCAACACAAAACTTAACAGGCAGCCAGTGTTAGGAGGATAAAACTGGGGTGATATGATCATATTTTCTAGACTTGGTAAGAACTCTGGCAGCTGCATTTTGTACTTGCTGGAGTTTGTTAATAGAGGATGCTGGGCAGCCAGCAAACAGAGCGTTGCAGTAATCCATCCTAGAGGTCATAAAAGCATGGACTAGCTTTTCTGCATCTGAGATGGATAGCATACTTCGTAACTTCAGCTCTCCATCCTGATGAACGAGACTCAAAGGTCCAAGTCTGTAAAAAGATCTGAACTTCCACTCACTATTAAACAGTGCTTTTTGAAGTCGACAGCTTATTTTTTTTCCTTGTTAACTGTAAACTTTGTCACAGAGCAGCTTTTAAATGTTTTTCGTTTTTTTATTACAAGTAAAAAATGTCAAGAATGCAGCTTCCCTCAATAGAGAGATTTGGATCCCCCTGTCCCTTTTGTGGGCGTGTCCGAAATGCACTCGGTCTCTATCTGACGTGTGTTCATCCCCATCCCGCTGGGTTTCTGAAGTGCGTTATTGGTCTGGAATGAACCCTCGCTCTCCCTCTCCTCGAATCAGCCAGGGCAGATAAACGCACCCAGATGCTGTGTATTTTTGTTCCCGTGCTTTTGTTTTTCCTCGAAATCCCCCTAAAAGTGGAACTCAATTGTCTAGAGATATTGAAAGCCAATTGGCTGAGGCCGAGCGCTGTTTCATGTGTGCGATTAGTAAAACGCCACGCCACATTAACAAATTCATCCAGCCAGGTGCGGTGCCATCCCTTAACCAGCAGACGCCACCCAAACTAAACACATGTGGAGCTCATAAAAGCCAGCGACCCGTGGAGGAGAGCAGGAATTTACAGCAGACCTCTCTGCCTTCTGATGGCCGTGTTTTCTCTATCTCTCAATCACGGCAGATCAGAGCCGCTCAATGTGTCTTCAATCGTCCTCAGATCACGATGATGATGATGATGATGATGATGAATGGCTTCCAGTCTATCTCTGATGACTCAGATTACCTGCATTATCTTGCTCTTGTACTGTATTAGCACCGCTCGTGTTCTTGAATTAACTTGTCATGAATGTGTCTGTGTTGCTTGACACAATCAAAAATCTAAAGGTTTAAAATCGAAATGCATATTGCTGAGAAAGAGACTTGTTTAATAACATTAATGTTGCCATTTTAATCGCAAAAATAATTGTTAAGAAATTTTAATTGAATTGTTTTTATGATGCAGGTGTTGATAATGATGATTTTAGTCACTTAAATGCTAACTTGAGTCATTTTTCAGTTTTTATATTGGTATCACTGTATTTTGATGGTCCCTTTAACACATTTTGTTGAATTTAAGTTACATTGCATCTATGCCAACTAATTCTCATTACATTCTACAGTGCATCCGGATAGTATTGATAGTGCTTTACTTTTTCCATATTTGTTTATGTTACAGCCTCACTCCAAAATGCATTAAATACATGTATTTCCTCAACATTCTACACACAATCCCCCATAATGACAATGTGGAATAAGAGTTTTTGAAATTGTTGCAAATTAATTTAAAATAAAAAAGCTGTAAAATCACATGTACATCAGTATTCACAGCCTGAGCTCTAAATTGAGCTCAGGTTCATTCTGTTTCCACTGATCATTCTGGAGATGTTTCAGCACCTTCATTGAAGTTCACCTTGTTCAGTTGATTGGACATGATCTGAAAAGGCTACACCTGTCTATATAAGGGCTCAGGGTTGACAGTGCATGTCAAAGCACAAACCAAGCATGAAGACAAAGGAATTGTCTGTAGACCTCAGGATTGTCTGGAGGCACAAGGCTGGGGAAGGTGACAGAAACATTTCTGCTGCTCTGAAAGTTCCAATGAGCACAGCGGCCTCCATCATTCATAAGTGGAAGATGTTTAACCAGCAGGACTCTTCCTAGAGCTGGCCGGCCATCTAAGCTGTGATTTAGGGAGAAGGGCCTTAGTCAGGGAGGTGATCAATAACCTGATGATCACTCTGTTTGAGCTCCAGCGTTTCTCTGTGGAGAGAGGAGAACCTTATAGAAGGACAACCATCTGTGCAGCAATCCACCAATCAGGCCTGTATGGTAGAGTGGCCAGACGGAAGACACTCCCCGCCTGGAGTTTGCATCTGAAGGACTCTCAGAGCATCAGAAACTAAACTCTCTGCTCTGATGAGACTCAAACTGAACTGTTTGGAGTGAAAGCCAGGCGTTACGTTTGGAGAACTCCAGGCACTGCTCAACACCAGGCTAATAGCATCCTTACAGTGAAGCGTGGTGGTGTTGGCATCATGCTGTGGGGATGTGTTTCAGCAGCAGGAACTGGAAGACTAGTCAGGATAGAGGGAAAGATGAATGCAGCGATGTACAGAGACATCCTGAATGAAGACCTGCACAAGAGTGCTCTCCACCTCAGACTGGGGCGACGCTTCATCTTCCAGCAGGACAATGACCTGAAGCACAACGCCAAAATATCATTGGAGTGGCACAACAACAACTCGGTGAATGTACTTGAGTGGCCCAGCCAGAGCCCATACCTGAATCCTATTGAACATCTCTGGAGAGATCTGAAAATGGCTGCACACCGTCGCTTCCCATTCAACCTGATAGAGCTTGAGAGGTACTGCAGAGAGGAACGGGCAAACATTCCCAAAGACAGGTGTGCAGAGCTTGTGGCATCATATACAAGAAGACTTGAAGCTGTAATCACTGCCAAAGGTGCATCAACAAAGTTTTGAGCAAAGGCTGTGAAGACTGATTTTTTTTTAATTTTTAATAAATTTGCAACAATTTCAAAAACTTTAAAGACCTGCTAAAGATGAGTTCATTATTTATGTCCTGATTTAAAAAAGAAAAGAAAAAAAGAATTATATTTCTCGGGTGTCTTAACTTTTTTCTCCTTGACTGATTGTGCCCAAATAGACTTGAGGATTAAAATTTTAGGAATGCAGCTTTAACAAATGAAATCAACATTTAAAATCTGCATATGGTATTTACTCCTGGTATCTATGTTATAATTAGTTTGATGGTCACAGAGATGTTGACAAAAACGCAAAAAAGATGGGGAAAAAAAAGGGAAGGGGCAAATACTTTTTCACAGCACTCTCTTATAAAACCTGCCTTCCATATGAAATAATTTCTGATGTGTGTGTGTGTGTGTGTGTGTGTGTGTGCAGTCATCAGATCAAAGCCCTGCAGTACAGCATCACAGGTGACGTCATTCTGGTTGTGGCTGGAAACTCTCAAGCCAAAGTTCTGGACCGGGACGGTTTCCAGGTTCTTGAGTGCATTAAAGGAGACCAGTACATCGTGGACATGGCCAATACCAAGGTAATGTCTGACTCGGAGAACATCTGCACACGCAAATCTGACTAATTACAGCACACAAACTGCCTTGGTAATTATAATGTTCAGGGAAAGGCAGGGCTGTCGTGTTGAGGAAATTTCTCTTGCGATAAATCTGAATGTTTCAATAAAGCAATATGCAATATTTGTTTGCACTTCTTATACAGCTCTGGCGCCGAGTTATTATGCAACACATATTTTAAATAGCTCTCTAGGATAGTGTTTAACAGCAGATGGTGCTCTAGGCTAGTGTTTAACAGCAGACGGCACTCTAGGCTAGTGTTTAACAGCAGATGGCGCTCTAGGCTAGTGTTTAACAGCAGACGGCGCTCTAGGCTAGTGTTTAACAGCAGATGGCGCTCTAGGCTAGTGTTTATCAGCAGACGGCACTCTAGGCTAGACTTTTTTAACAGCAGACGACGCTCTAGGCTAGTGTTTAACAGCAGACGGCGCTCTAGGCTAGTGTTTATCAGCAGACGCCGCTCTAGGCTAGTGTTTAACAGCAGATGGCGCTCTAGGCTAATGTTTAACAGCACACAGCGCTCTAGGCTAGTGTTTAACAGCAGACGGCGCTCTAGGCTAGTGTTTAACAGCAGATGGTGCTCTAGGCTAGTGTTCAACAGCAGACGCCGTTTTAGACTAGTTTTTAACAGCAGACGGCGCTCTAGACTAGTATTTAACAGCAGACATCGCTCTAGGCTAGTGTTTAACAGCAAAGGATGCTATTGTTCAACAGCAGACGGGGCTCTAGACTAGTGTTCAACAGCAGACGGGGCTCTAGACTAGTGTTCAACAGCAGACGGCGCTCTCGGCTAGCGTGATGCAGAACAAATGTAGGATTGTTGCAAAATCAATTTCTTGAATGATTCTTCATCACAGCTCTAGTTTTTAATGTTTAGTTTTATCTTTCATTGATGATCTGCCCTCAGCTTGCCCGTTCAGTGTTCAGACATGTGCTCTGAGTGTTCTCCAGTTCTCATGGCTGCTTTGTTTGTTGCATCTGGTCGTTGTTTGTTGACTGAGGTGTAATGAGGTGTAGTTGAACTCCATCAGAGAGTCAAACGGCCACTAAATACAGCACCTGGCCTCTCAGCCCCGTCCGCACACTCACCGTTCCTCCGTTTATGTGTGTAATCTGCGTTTAAAGTGGGCCTCAGTGCTGCTTGTGGCACTAATGTAGTGTGTCGGTATGCTATAGTCACTTTAAGAGGGAGCGTTTCCCATTTCTGTTCTCTGTAATGGAGGTTTTATCTCCTCTTTGAGGACTTTATGTACCCTAGTGAGCGCGTTCAGCATGGAGAGTAAATATTGTGTTCTTCAATCATTGTCAATCTGATGTTTTGCTGGTGAAAGATGCCAACTGGACGTCCATAACAGAAATACTTGAATTTGGTTTAGTTTTATTATCATAGCTATTACTTCCACATGTGAACACACTTGGCGTTCGCTGCAGCAGTGATATTTTAATGTGATTTATATGCTCTTGGAGTGTTTATGAAATTTTATAGTTCTTTTATTTGCATTTTTATTATTTTATTTTCACTACTGGTCAAACGTTTGGACTCTTTTAATGGTTT